CTTTACTGCTTTCGGTGAAAGGGTTACACTTTCTCCTGCTGCTGGATTATCCCTGTGAGCATTTGGACAAGCTAAATCTCAGTCTTCCCCTCCCCTCCGCTCCCCTCCTCCCCTCCCCTGCCCCCTTCTTTCTGTCTATCCTCAGCCATCCTCCTATTCCCCAGTTTCCTGAGTACTTACAGGTGTGTGTCACCACCTACCTCAAGGTCTTTTAGTCTCAAAATTAACAAATAAACCCCAAACTAGGAGGCTTTTCTAGCCCATGTCCCCTTCCAGCTACCTCCTTCTCTGAGCTGCTCAGTGAGACTGGTCCTTTGAACCAAAACGTGTCTCCTTAGCAATCAGTCCCTCCCAGTCAGCCTGCAGATGACCTGGACAGCCTGACTTTCTAATGAAATGGCTTCTCCCTAGCTCACCAACTTCAATATGTACTGAACATCCTCTGTACCCCAGTAATCGCTAGTCTACAACGGGGAGGTCAACATGAAAGAGAAAAGGGGGCTTTTCTAGCCCAAGGACCTAGAAAAGGAAAGGAAAGCCAGACCTGTCCAGCTCAAAGGTACTTTCCTTCTAGGGCAGGGATGCCGGAGATGTCCTGGTGTGTCTGACTCAGGCCAATCACATTTTTTCTAATTGGTTTTGATGACTCCTGGCTGTTTGCAGTGGTTTAAACTGGTCCGTTGCAGACCTGAGTGAGGTTGGCTAAATAGCTGCTTTAGTGCCTGTTCCACTCTGGCCTGGTCTAGTCTGCTGGTCTACCGGGCCTGGTGGAGGAGATTAGTCCAAGCAATGGCCTCCTGTAAGCTTGGTTTGACCATCTCTGCCCGACTGTTTCTCAAGAACATCAGATTCTTTGTTTCAGAAGGCAGCTACCTTTTGCCTGTGCTGGAAACTGAGGGATCGGCCTCAGCATTTGCTCTCCAAGGTGCTCTCCTGTAATCATGGACTAATCGTACCAATCACTTCCACCCTAGCTCCCTAGTATCTTGCAGTTTCTTAGCTTCCTTGGTTCAGGTGGAATCACCCCCTGCATGCTGGAAACAGCCTCTTGCCTTGCCTTACCTTTTTCTGATGTCTTTCTCCAGTCACAGCCAGGTGATCTTTCTACTGCACAAATCTGACCCCTTAGTGCATCCCACTGCCCTTGGATAAAGTGCAGGTTCCTGAACCTTACCAGAGGCCTTTAGAATCAGCTCCTGATTAGATTTCCATCCACTCGTTTTATCCCCTTTCTTCCACCATATTCAACCCCTTTCAACTGCTGCCCTTCTTCCCCAGCTCTGTAACTATTCTATTCCCTACCTGGGATCACTTCTCAAACACTTACTTCCTCTGCTTACCTTGTGCATGACTTCAGAATTGGACACACGATGGCTGACTGATTTGTGATGTGTTAAGTTCTTAATGATGAGCCTTCTTTGGTCTTCACTCCACTGGGAGCCTATTACTCGCACTTGATAAGACACAGAGACCCATGTAGCAGTCAGAGCCATTGCTGTATACATGAGTTTGGTTGTTTTCACCCTGCCTTATAACTGCCTTGCCTGCTTGTTTTCCTTCCTTCCTTTTTCTTTTTTTCTCTTTTTGGGGGTGAGAAAGGTAGCAGAAATTCTATAGCATGGCTCCGCAGGTAAAAGTGCTTGCCACCAAGTCTGATGACCTGGGACCCACAAGGTAGGCAGAGAGAACAGACTCCTGAGAGTTGTCCTCTGTCCTCCACATAAGCATCACGACATGTGTATGCCCTCACTCTCATAGCCACCAAATAAGTAAACAAATAGAAACAACAACAGTAACTATCAATAGCATGGCATTTAAATGGTAGTAAACACAGTACATTGCTTGGCAACCATCGTCATCTGGACTCTTGGACCTTTCCCGGGTTGCCTCACATTCCCAAAGGGAAGCTCTGGAAGCATTGGACACTCTCTGTGCACCTTCCTCTCCCCACAGCTCCGGGTGGCCTCAGTCGACTCAAGGGTTTGATCATTAATGGTGCGCCTCCCCAACAAGTAGAATCAAACAGAGTCTGTTCCTGTGTGCCGGGCTTGCAAGGGTCAGTTCATGCGTGTGGAAGCCAGAGGTCAACACTGGGTGTTCCCTCAGATACTCTCTGCCTTTGTTGTTTTTAGATAGGGACTCTCACTAAACTTGGAGTTCTCAACTGAGTCAGGCTGGCTGGCCAGTGAACTCCAGGGATCTCACTGTTTCTGCCCAGAGCACAGTCACAAGCAAACACTACAGGACCTCGCTTTGTATACAGGTACTGAGAATTGAAACTCAGGTCTTCCTGTTGGTATGACAGGTTCTCACCAACTGAACCAGCCCTCTAGACCTCTGTGTGACTTTTTTTTTTTTGAGGAACTGACAGCCTGTTTTCCATAGTGGCAGAGCATCAGAGATGGACAAGGATTCCAATGTCTTCATTTTTTGTTAAAAATACTTTTTTGTTTTTAAAATAATAACCATCTATTATTTGGCCTTTAACTGAGGCTTTGGTTTGCATTTTCTGATGATTTCCTATACTTTTTTAGCTATTTTATATTTTATTTGGAGAACTATCTATTCGAGTTCTATGACCATTTTAAAGTCACGTTTGTTGTGAATTATCTTTTCTTATATTTTGGATAAACTTTGCAGTTTGTAATTTATTTAGCATGGCTTGTACCTATTTCTCATGGCCTTTTAGTGACTGCTTAAGATAAAGGCAAAGTCTTTTTTCTTTCCTTTCTTTGTTTTAAACAGGATCTCACTGTGTAGCTCTGGTTGTCCTGGAACTAACTCAGTCTGTAGACCAGGCTGGCCTCAGACTCACAAAGATCTTCCTGGTTCTGCTCCTTGAATTCTGGGATCAAAGACTATGCTGCCATGCCCAGTCTAGGGCAGTCTTTTGTGAGGTCCCCAAGGTCCTGTGTGGTCTGCTCTTCCTTTATTCTCTGTCCAGATTTCCTAGCCACTGCTCTTCTCTGCCACAGTCACAGTGACCTCCTTATTTCTCGTCAAAACTCTAAGCATCCTCTGATATCAGAACTTCCGAGCTTATGAGTTCCTCTTCCCAGAACACTTCCTTCTCATTTTATTCAGACTTTCCTCACGTGTCATTAAGTCCGATGGGTCTTGCACGACCATCCCAGCCTCCTTTGTTTGCTGTTGTGTTCCTTGCACCAAGAATGCCTGACCTGTCATAGTAGTCAAAAGTGATTGTTGAATGAATGGTCTAGGCTTGCAGTTCACCCCCATGCCGACCCAACTCTAGATCTTATGGCTTCTAGCCCACCATGCGGGGTGTTTCCTCACTGGGAAGCCTCTGGGGCCCAAGGACATCTAGTCTCTCATCACAGCTCATTAGGCTCACTGTGTGGTAGTCACCCCTTTATTTGACTGTTTTCCAACAGATATCAACTTGAGGACAAAACCAAACTTCTTGTTTAATACCAAGCACAATGCCTGGCAATACACAACGGTGGGAAATTGAATGAATAAATCTCTTTGAGCCTCTGCTTTCTCGTCTATAAAATGTAGAGGACCTGCTCGCCTCACAGTTTAGGGCGTCAGACCCAATGTTTAAAAATGCTCCCTGCAGAGCTAGCTGCATAGTAAGTGCTTTCTAACTGGTAGTTTTCAACCATGAGTGGTAATTTTTGTTAAAAAAAACGACCAGCATTCTAATTAGAATGATGTAAGATAATGAATCTCAAACATTTACTTAATGCTAAAAAAATGTAGTGAATGAAGGAGATTGCCCATCAATATTTTACTGTGGAAAAAATTTCAGGACAAGCACAGAAGAATTTTCCAGTGGACAGCCGCTCATCCCGCCTAAGCTCTGCAGATAACGTTCTGTTGTGCTTGCTACCACAAATCTATTACCCATCTAGCTTGGGTTTTGTTTTTTTATGTATTTTGAACACTTAACTCACAGAAATAAACATACTTTCCCCTCGATAATTCAGAATGAATGAGAACTCGGTGTTTGTTTATAATCCTCTTTCTTTTTCTTGGTATTCCTCCTATTTATTATAACACACATACACACGTGTACACATAAATGAATGTGAGTAAAGATTTAAACTCATAACTATATGTCAAGACCTGCTAAGGGAATATGTATGATAGGATTAAGAAATAAGAGTAAGAGGGGTGGCCAGGCACTGGTAGTGCACGCATTTAATCCCAGCACTTGGAAGGCAGAGGCAGCTGGATCTCTGTGAGTTCGAGACCAGCCTGGTCTACAGAGTTCCAGGACAGCTAGGGCTACACAGAGAAACCCTGTCTCAAAGAACAAATGCAAAACAAAAGTAGAAGTGGCTGGGGAGATGACTTAGTAGTTAAGAGCACATGCTGCCCTTTCTGAGGACCTGAGTTCAGTTTTCAGCACCCACAGCAGGCGGATATAATCCTCTTTTTTAAAATCAGGGTCTTACTATGTAACCTTAGCTGTCCTGGAACTCACTATGTAGACCAGTTCGAGACCATCTGCCTCTTCCTTCTGAATGCTGGAACTAAAGGTGTGTGCCACCATGCCCAGCTATAATCTGTTTTTGAATGTTAGTAAACCTTATTATGCCATCGTGGGTTTGATGAGAAGCGCTCCCCTGCCCCATGGAGGCATATGTGTTATAGGTGTGGTTCTCACCTGGTGGTACCATGAGAGATACCTGGTTCATGGAGCTTCTGGTCTACTTGGTGGATTAACACACAGATGCATTAATAACTGGGTACTATTGTTGGGAGGTGGCAGAAAACAGGAGGAAACATTAGTTAGAGGAAAGGGGGCATGCGCTGAGAGAGCAGACAGCTTCCTCGGCTATGAGGTGAGCAGCATTCCAGGCCTGTTCACTGCCTTGTATCTGCCTGTTACCAGCCTGAACGCAATGGGCCGAGATGACCATGGACTGAAACTTCTTAAATTGTGAGCCCAATAAAACCCTCTTTTGCTTCCTCAGTTTAAAACAATCTTAATTAATTAGCTAATTAATTAATGTGTTTGTGCATGTGGAGGGAGTCAGTTCCTACTGTCTGTCTTTTTGGAGGTGAGGTCTCTCTTTCTGCGCTGTATAGCATACCCCAGACTACCTGGGAGCTTCTGGCCCTGTCTCTGCCTTCGACCTTACCGCAGGCTTGCTGGGATTACAGAGTTGCTTCTTATGTGGGTTCTGGGGCTTGAACTTAGGTCTTCTGGCTTGTGCGGCAAGTGCTTTTACTGGCTGAGCCATCTGCCTGGCTCTCCTCAGACGTTCTCTACAAGTAATAAAATATAGTAACTCAAATGCTTATCAAAATGTAGAAGACTAATATCATTCCAGAAAGTTCTCAAACCTTCCCTGCCTCTCTAATCAATCCTCACCTCCCAATCCTTCATGAACAAACATTTAACACATGATTTTCCCCACCAAAAACATTCTTTTCGTTTTCTTCTTCTGTGCATTTGGTCTAGCCTTGAATATACTACGTACCCAGGTTGGCCTTGACCTCTCTGTAGTCCAAGTAGACCACCAACTTGTAATCCTCCACCCTGTTTTCCACGTGCCTCTTACCTCCAACTCTGGATGAAACTCCAATTTTATTCAAGATTCTAGAACCTATTCTATAACCTTATATAAATTGAATCAAAGAGTTACACACCGCTGTGTATCTTGCTAATTTTGCTAAGCATATTTTTGAGATTCACCCAAATGGTGTCATCAGTCTATTTGTTTTTATTGCCGAATACTATTTATTGTAAGAATATTTGATAGCATAATCATCTATCTTGTGTTGATGGTCCCCTGGGGTGTTTCTGGTTAGGGATATCAATGAACAAAGCTGCTATTAATATTTCTTGGGAGATCTCCTTCTGGTATAAGATTCCATTTCTCTTGGGTAAATACCTTGGGGTAGAATTGCTAGAGTGGTTGTAGGTTTATATAAGACAGTGTTAGGTGTTTCCCCAAAGAGGCCATGTGGAATAGATTCTCAGCATCTGACCTAAGTAAAGCCGTCATCCTCTGGAACAATTGTAAGAGCCAAATTCACATTCCTTGGATGACCAGTGAGGGTGCTGCCCAGGGAGGTCTAGCTTCTCACCTGGTCTTCTGCTCCTCCCAGCAGTCAAGATTTGAGAGGTGGTGGCCCCCGACCCTTGTAGCTGCCACATCCCATCCATCTGTCCCTTCTTTTTCTTTCCAGAAGTCTATCTATTTTTTAAGGACCAAATTCAAAAGTCACAAATGTAATCGATTACCGAGCCGCTCCACCAAATACTCTTTAGATGGTCCAGACTCAAGTGCCTTATTCTACTTTGCATATCTAGAAAAGCACATGAGAAGCATTTTAAGATCCCCCCTTCCCTGTCCTCCTTCCTTTGCCCTCCCTCTCTATGTTAGACAGGATCTCCCACAGCCTAGGCACTCTTCAAATGCTTAGCCCCAAACACACAGCTGAGGTTGACTTGGCCTGCTCCTCCTGCCCCCACCTCCTGAGAGCTGGGGTTGCAGCAGCGCTGAGGATGGAACCCAGGGCCTCCTGCACGCTAGGCAAGCCCTCTACCAACCGAACTGCATCCCTAGCCCATAGGAAGGAAGCATTTAATACATTTTCCCCTTAGTAGGTCCCTGGCAGAAACTTTTGAGTAAACAAATGCTTTGTTTGAACAACCCTAAAAGCTAAATTATACATTCTTCCTTGCTTCACAGTATGTTGACTTGATCTAATGTTGAAAATAGCAGGTGATTTTGCTTGTGCTTTTTTTTTTTGCCTAGGGATACTGGAAAATATGTTTTATGGATAGTCAGTAGTCAGTGCAGGCTATGTCTTTATGTCTCCTGCGCCCCCACTGAGTTTCCTGCCTGCAGAGATCTGAATATCCTCCAGTGACCTACGTAGACAGTTCAAGGTGGCGCCTTGAACACTGAGGTCATGGTACACATTTAACGACAATCAGGGCTCTTCTCTGGAAATGTTTAAGGGAAAAGCAGAGTCGTTGAACATTTCCTTGTAATCCTCAGAATTTCTTTCTTTCTTTTTTTTTTTTCTTCTTCTTCTTTTTTTTTTTTTTTTTTAGTTTGTTTGCCAAGGCACACACGATTCCTTATGCCTCTAGTTTTGATTGAAGCCCTGCATACTGTCATTTTTATGTCATTTTCTCCTAACAGGTTCAGCTCCCGGCCTCCTTCCTCACCCACGGTGGGGAACAGTGAGTGACTTGAAGCCTCCTTCTCCTGTTGACTGGAAGGAACTGGCATTGCCAAGCACAACGCCAAGAACTTGACCTGAACTGAGGAATGGGATCCGGGCAGCTGTGCCCCTCAGAGCAGGGCTGACTGCCAGCTCTCAGGGCATCTGGTGACCAGGGAGGGATTCCTCTGCTCGGACAACAGGCTCTCTATTCTGCTCAGTGGCTCCTGCCCTGGTTCCTCACCTGCTGTGTTTAGTGTTCTTTAGTCCTTCAGCAAACTCCACCCTCTCACTGAATTTTGCAATCTGCTCTCAACTTAACCTCCCCATGCCCCTCTCTCTCCTTCTGGAACTGCATTACCTAGCCAAGCTGAAAGCCGACCAAGGTGAAGTTTCCTTTAACTTTTTTCGGCTGCCACATTCCCAGAGCTGACTTCTTCTGACCTACCTACGGGAAAGGTTGCATTTTACCACCATGTAAATGCCTCTTCAGCAGCCTGGTTTTCCGTTTGGGCTGCTCAGAAAGACCTAGAGGCTTGTGAAAGAGCCAGACACTCTTCCAGAAACACTCACCTCAGTAACACATCGGTGCAAGCTTGCAGTTGACCTCCCTTGGGGCAGCCCCTGGGCTCCACGGTTTAATGAGTAGGTTTGTCCACCCATTCTTGCTCCACCTCTCTCCCATGCTTTTCTCTTTTCTTCAGTTCTATAATTTACCTCTCTTTGGGTGGAATTTGGTCTACTTTTGTTTTATCACACACTCGATAGGTCTTGTGCATGAGCTTTGTCCTCGAGCAGCCTGTACCCCTAGCCTGATGTTTCTGTATTTTTTCTACCCAACCTGGCCCTTGCTTTCCTTCCTAGCACCCTTTGTTCCAGGGCTCAGCCAGAAGACCATGAGTCACTAAAAAGTTTCTAGATAGCTAATCCAAGGATAAGGGCAACTTGAGTGTGTTCAGGGTACTATGCCCCGTCTGGCCTACTTATTTAAAAAAAATTTAATTACATTTTAACTAGTCTCTCTCTCTCTCCCTCTCTCTCTCTCTCTGTGTGTGTGTGTGTGTGTGTGTGTGTGTGTGTGTGTGTGCATGTGCACATGTGTACCACAGCATACATGTGGAGGATGTTGGAGGACAGATTTCAGGTATCGATTTTCTCCTTCCACCACATGGGTTCCAGAGACAGAACTCAGGTGGCCAGGCTTGTTGGCTTGGTGGCCCCAAGACTTAGAGAGCTGTCTCTGCCCACTTTGCAGCTACATGCTGTCTTTGGTCTCCTGTTTCTGTCAGCTTGCTATTGTGTTGTTAATCTGTAACTCTTCCCCGATGAAGCCTTTATCTCAACATTTGACACTTCTCACACAGGTGGCTGTCCTAAAAATGGCAGTCAAAACCCAGGGCACAGGAAAAGTTCTCCTTCCGAATGACTAATTCCTTGAGAGTTCACTGACTAAATTACTCGTGTCAGCCTTTGTTTTGTGGACAGAGAGCACATACAAGTCAGAAAGATTCCCATAGGCTGTGGGTGTAGCTCAGCGCCAGAGCACTTGCCTAGTAAGCACAAGGTCCTGGGTTTAATCCCAAGTCTTGCCAAAGCTGGGTGATGGTATCACAAGTTCAAGGCCCAGCTTGGGCTACAACATGAGACTGCCTCAAATTGTAAAATAAAACTCAAAAAGATTCCGGACAATTGCTTACCTCCCGGGTTGTTACTCTCTTCACTCTTAAAGCAGTAGCCCTTCCGGAGGGTTGTGGATAGCCAGCAAAGTACTTTGCAAACTGTGCTGAGGTGGGGGAAAGAGCTGGGGAGCTGTCCCCACCTGGGAAAGGATCTGGCCCCGAGATTGGTTTGGTTTCTCTCTGCTGAGTCTCAGGAAGAACGGCCTGCATCAGGGGTGGGACTGGGTTCCCAGAGGGGCCTAAGGAACTCCCATTATTTTTTTCTGGGAGTTGTGCTGAGCCAGGTCCTAGGTTATAGAGTCCCAAGGTCTGGAATCACAGCGAGCTACTTTCAGCGTTCACTTCCAAGGCAAGACTATATAACCTATTTTAAAAGGGTGTGTGTAGCTAAACCCAGAGTAGCCAGGGACATTTCACACTGGCACCACCTCTTCTGGCTGCTTCTGAGGCCATCCGGAGGCCAGGCCGGAAAAGTAAAGAGAGGACCTCAGAATCTGAGACCTTTGCGCAGAGGGCTGGAGTGTTGAGGAGGGCGGGAAGAGAGAACAGGGAGGAGGGAGCTGGGTGCGGAGGCCCCACCTTTCATTCCAGCGCTGCTGCACCGGCTGGGGCGGGGTGAGTCACTGGCTGGCTCTGCTGTTCCCCCTCCCATAGTGAGGGATTCGGACCTCTCTGGGGAAAAACTGCGGTGCCTGGGTGCCTGCTCGTTCTGTCCTTGGCAGGGTGCTGGAGTCCTGGGTCTGCCGGGTCTGGCCTCTGGGGCCACGACTGGCTTTCCCTGATGTATGGTAAGAGCCCTGCGCGTGTGCTTCCACTTCTCCTGGGCTTTCAGCTCACAGGTAAGAACTGGCGGGCTTCTAAAAGATTTTACCTTCACCATCCCACTCTATGTAAAGACAGAATTCGTGGCTCGAAGAAGTCTTAAGCGCTCTGTTGGGAGCTCGAGACCCGGCTGCAGTTCGTTCTAGTCCAGACTTCACGGAAACTTCAGTTCGGTGGGTTGCTTTGGGGCAGTGCTTTGGGCAAACAGGTTTAGGTGTGTTTGGCCGCTCGTGATTCAGGCACAGACAGGGCTTTCTGATCTCAGGTTACACACCATCTTTGTGTGGCTGCTCTCAGCCTTGGCTGCTGCCTAGATTTGGCCCTTGGATTTTTGTGGGAGGATTTTGTCTGCTGACTCCCTGCAGCACCGCGGAGCAAACCTAGGAAGCGAGAACCCGCTGTGGTTTTGAAGCTGCCCCAATGCACACACTGAACTTGTAAATACGCCACGTGGTCTAAGGTTCCAGGGGTGCGGGCCAGCGCAGCTGCTGGGGTGGATTAACCTGCAGGCTAGTAGCAATCCCAAGTCTACACGCTGGAAACCGTACCTGCTTAGAGACTTTTTTTTTTTTTTTACATATATTTTATTGCTTGATCTTAGTACTCCATGTCTGACCAACGTTTGGATTTTTGTTTCTGATTTTCATCTTATTGGCTGAAGTTTGTAGTTTCTGGCTATAGTTCCGAAGTTGGTACCGTGGCTGTGAAGAAGTGAGAACACCAGGTAGTTTGTTGGGCAGAACTTTTAATTGGCCCTCGGGATGGGAGGGTCAAGGTGGTGTGTAGGTAGGAGTGTAAGAAGACTTGAGGCGAAGTGAATTTGGAGGCTGGCTTATTTGGAAAGTGTCAGTGCTCACCGAGTATGCCCGCTGTTAACCCCTTTCCTTCCCTTCCTTGCAGCCCTTTGTCCTACAATAGCGGTGGAAATTTACACCTCCGGGGCCCTGGAGGCAGTCAATGGAACAGACATTCGGTTAAAATGCACTTTCTCCAGCTTTGCCCCTGTGGGTGATGCCCTGACAGTGACGTGGAACTTCCGGCCTCGAGATGGGGGACGTGAGCAGTTTGTAAGTGGATTCTTGTCACCTTCCAGCAGACCCTTGACTAGGATGTATTCATATTCAGGCAGCAATTCTCAACTTCGGGGTCAAACGAACCTTTCACAGGGATTGTCTAAGACCATCGGAAAACAGATATTTACATTCAGTAACAGTACCAAAATAATAGTTACAAAGTAGCAATGAAATAATTTTATGGTTGGGGGTCACCACAATATGAGAAACTGCATTAAAGGGTCACAGCATTAGCAAGGTTGAGAATCACTATATTAAGGTCTTTTTTTCTTGCCTTTCTGTGTTGACCAGATGAGCAGGGTTAAGTTGGGAACCAGTTCTTGGGAAAGAGAGTGCTATATCTGAGAAAAGGGAAGCAAGAGAGTGTTCTGAGGAGCTAGCTTTAGTCAGATTTGCTGAGGCTTCTCTTCCACCCCTACTATCTCAACCTCCTGCCCCATACAGAGTGGGAGAGGTCATCCTTTCTCCTCTATAGGTATTCTACTACCACGTGGATCCCTTCAGACCCATGAGTGGACGGTTCAAGGACCGAGTGGTCTGGGATGGCAACCCCGAGCGGTACGATGTCTCCATCATCCTCTGGAAGCTGCAGTTCGATGACAATGGGACATACACCTGCCAGGTGAAGAACCCACCTGACGTGGATGGTCTGGTAGGGTCCATCCGGCTCAGCGTGGTGCATACTGGTAGGTTTTGGGAAGTGAGAGCTAACAGAAAAAGGGGGGGGCATCTTTTGTGATGTTGTTGGAAGGGAGAGAGGGCCTAGGGCTTCAGGGCTGGGAACTTCAGAGACTGCGGAGTCCTGGGTGAAAAAAAAAATAAAGGCTTTGTTTGCTGCTGGAAAGAAACAAAGTAAGGCAAAGAGATCTGAGGAATCGGTGACAAGAATGGCCTTGAGTTCGTGAAAGGGACAGGAAGCCACTCTGATAAAAAGACTCACAATAGGTCAGTTCATTCTCTAGTTTATTACAGATGCGTACTGCGTACCTGGTGTGCCAGGCACAATCTGAAGTGCTTGGCACACACTGTCTCATTTAATCTGGGCACACTGTCAATCACGGTCGCCAGTGTTTACCGGGCGCACCGGCTGTCAGGAGTTGACGCGATACATTTTATCTATCCTTTTAAAATAATTATGTGCGTGGGTGGTTTGCTTGCATATGTCTGTGCACCGTTTCAGTGCCTGCTGCCCATGGAGGCCAGAAGAGGGTGTCAGGCACCTTGGAACTGGAGTTACAAAGAGTTGTGAGCCACTGTGTGAGTGCTGGGAATCGAGCCCAGGTCCTTTGAAAAAGAAGCCAGTGCTCTTAACTGCTGAGCCCTCTCTCCAGATTCATCTTGTTTGTTCTTTACACATCTCATGAGTCTGTTGTAGATTTAGTGTCTCCCATTTTACTAACAAGAAAACTGGGGCTCACCAAGTGTAAGTCACTTCCCCAAATTCATATAGTTAGTAAATGAAGTCACTTGAGACTCAAGCCCAGCCATCTCAGACTCTCGAACTGCTCTTTTTTTTTTTTAAATTTTATTTTATATGCATTGGTGTAAAGGTGTCAGATCCCCTGGAACTGGATCTTCAAACAGTTGTGAGCTGCCATGTGGGTGCTGGGAATTGAACCGGGGTCCTCTGGAAGAGCAGTCAGTGCTCTTAACCACTGAGCCATCTCTCCAGCCCCCCCTTTTTTTAGATTTTTTTTATTATGTATATAGTATTCTGCATACATATATTCTATAGGCCAGTAGTAGAGGGCACCAGATCTCATTACAGATGGTTGTGAGCCACCATGTGGTTGCTAGGAATTGAACTTAGGACCTTTGGAAGAGCAGTCAGTGCTCTTAACCTCTGAGCTACCTCTCCAACCCCTCGAACTGCTCTTTAACTAGTGGATTGGGTTACCTGCACTACAGGGACAACCTGGAAGATGATGCCAGGTGACAAAGAACACAGTATTCCTGAGCTGAAGAACTGGGGTTGAGTCCTGGCTACTTGTGTATGAGTTATACACAAATTTTACTTTTGTTGTGTGTGCAGTGAGAATAAGAAAAGATTTTGGTGAGCACAAAATGACGCAGTAAATTGGTGAGAGTCTCCAAACTCTAAACTGTCCTGAAAATTTTAATAGCCACATGTACCCAGCACTTACTGTGGGCTGGCACAATTTATAGGAATTGTGTTATTTTCTATAAGCACTCAAGAAGTGGATATCGTTATGTCTTAACATAATAGGAAACTGAGATTCAATAAAAATAAATAAATAACCCAGGTCACACAGTTAATAAGATAGAGCTAGCTCTTGTGTGTGTGTGTGTGTGTGTGTGTGTGTGTGTGTGTATGTGTGTATGTTTGAGATGAAGTTTTGCTATTTGGGAAAAGATCTCTCTATGTAGCCCAGGCTGGCTTCAAACTTGAGATCTCCCTGCCTTAGCTTCTTAAGAGTTAAGGTAGTGTGTGCTCTTAACTAACACACAGCATTGTTTAAAGCATCTTAGTGTGTCAGGTGGTGTGACTATCTCCTATCACTAGTACCTTGATCAGTTTAAAGCCAGCTTTCTAGGGTCTACCAAGAGACAGCTGTGTGGTCCACGCTCATCATCCGAGTACTAAAGTCATGTGATATATTTAGACCTCAGTTGTTTGTGTTTTTTCTTTTCTGATAGGTGAAGCAAAAAAAAAAAACCCCACAACCACAAAAACCAACCAACCAAACAAAACCAGCAGAAAGTAACAGCGAAAACAACACAAAAGCCAGCAGTGGTTGAACATAGCAGTGGTTAAACATCACTGTTTTATCGAGAGCCTACAGAAAGTTGTGGCTTTGCTCCCCTATTTGCTCCCCTACTTAAAGAGACTCCCCATTCTCTAAGTGTATCGGTGTTTTGCATGTATATCTGTGTATCACTTGTGTGCCTGGTGCCTGCAGAGGCCAGAAGAAGGCATTGGATCCCCTGGAACTTCTTTATCTTTCCTGATGACTTCTAGGCTGGGAGTTCCTGGCATAGACATTCTCTTCCGGCTCTTAGGGCTTATTGCTTTACTTGCCTGTCCTCCTGGACACACACGCACACACACACACACACACACACACACACACACACACACAAACACACAGTACAGCGCCTTGGGAATAATGCTTGTGACCTTTCTTTTCCATCATAATGACAGGAACACACCAGGCGCTGTGAAACCTGACTGGACAAAGCGGGAATTAGGCTATGCAGGACTGAGCTGGACACCGTTCTCCCTAGGTTAGCAGTAACGTGGAGCTCCTGGGCAGTTTGACTGACTCAGTGCTTCTCAGCATTTGGGTGTCATCACCATCACCTGGAAGACATGTCCAAACGCAGATGGCTGGATTTAGCCCCTAGTGCTTCTAGTCCAGCATGTTTGGGGTGGGGCCTGAGAATTTCACTTCAAAGCTCTCCAGTGGTGATGTCACTGCTTCTAAGAGAGTCACACTGGAGAAGCCCTGGTTTAGTCTGAGTTGGTTTCCCACTGCTGCCAAGGGCTACAATGTGATGTGCTGCTTTATTTCTAAAAGTAGGAGGAAGGAAGAGTCT